GTTCACTTTAAGCAAAACTCTCACGATTTTGTTTTTGATTCTACACAAAATGTCTCGTATTAATGGAGATAATTCTCCTCATCTATATACCATGGATCATGTTCTTCTCTAATTAACGTATAGTTTTGTTTGCATTCACCTTACAAATCTGACAAAATATCTATCAAACGAACCGAACCGAACCAAATTGAGATGAATTCTAGAATCGTCAACATTCCAATTCATTAATGGCATTGCCAGCCAGCCAGCCAAGCCACCCAAAGCCGCCTCTCTTTGACAGCGACCATTTACATTTCATAAGAAAAACAAACCTCCCATCCTAACAAACACACATACGTCCCTCGTCTTCTTCTCCATTTTCCCTTCTCTCTCCCTCTCTCAACCCAAATTACCATCATGCCCTCTCCACACTTGCTTTATTACACCTCATTGTTTGGATACAGCTTTTGAGCAACCTAACTTTTTGAATTATAATAAGAAGGATGTTGAATTACCCCTACAAGTAATTAAATTTGAAGAAAATGGTAAAGGTTAAAAAGAGAGAAAAAATACCATGAATTACCTCAATCATATTGTGATAAGATTGTGAGCTTTGTTTTTCCTTTTTCTTTTTAATTGATAATGACGTGCAAAAAAAATTCAGAAATTTTGATCGATTTTTTATTTGAATTGGCCTCTAATAGTTGAGATGTTTCAATCACCGCAGCAGTGAATATTTGTTTCTTGAAAATAATTTTTTTTCTTTTAATCATTGAGATGATTAGACGAGTAGCTAGAAGCTTGACTAATTGAGACATCTATTTATTTATTTATTTGGACAAAAACAAAAGAAGAAAAGGAAAAAGAAAAAGAAGATGAGTGGTGATGAGAAGGGAAAAAATTAGAAAGGTCTATTTTTTATTTTTTTTTATTTTTAGTAATGAAAAACCCCACCACACCATGTGCCTCAAAATTTGTTAGTCAATACATAAAAGGGTACCTCCTCACCTTTTTATTCATCTCAATTATTTTTGGGTGTGAATCATATTGTCCCATTGAATATAAAAACAAAATATTTACAATTTCCACTTTTAATTTTCAACCAAACTAATTAATTCTTTACTATATTTTACCTTACAATCAATCTCAAAGCTATATCCCCAATATCAACATTTTTCAACCAAATCAATTTGATGGTAAATGTTTGAAATTAATTTTTTTTTGTTTATTTTTATTGCTTAGGTCGTTTATGATTTTCATATCATGTTAAATCAACTAACGTTTGTCGAAGTTAACTACCCGAATGATCATAAAATTAAATTTAAAATTCAGAAGATACAATTGGAATTTTTTAAAGTTTAAGGATTAAAAAGACACAATAGTAAAATTTTGAGGACTAATTCTGTTCTAGAAAATCAAATTTAAATGTAGGCTAGATTTTAAGTGGTCCACTCGAATGGTTTGGATCTTATTTAGGATTGTAGGGCAAAAGTAATGTCGAAGTTATTCCTTCCATGAATTGGAATTCTTTACAACTGCCACATTATCATTCATCATTTACCTTTATCTTCTATTTTGAATCATTTCTAATTACCGTATAACTTTAAACTTTGAACTCCAAATCATCGTATTAAAATTAATATCAACATTAAACATACATATCATTATCGATGACATCTCAAGTTTGAGTTTGACTATATTCAATTAGTTAAGGCATAAAAGGAAAATCTTATGCAAGATTAGAGATCTGAATCCTCATTCCAACATCACTAATGAAATAAACAAAAATGTGTAAGAGTTGGTCGAGTAGGACTTCGTCTTTTATTTCGCTTCTCTTTTTAAGACTTTTCTATATGGTATTGAACGAGTTGTACTAATTTGTCGGTTATAACTTGACAAATGCAAATACAAAATTTCCTCTTATTTTCACTATAGTCTTTCCCTCTCTGTATTTTTTTTTTTTTTACTTAAAAAGAATTCCCCCAAAAGGCTGCAGAGCTACTTAATTGAATCACCTATGCTTTTTTTGTTTCCTTTTTTTCTTTTTTGGCAATGGAATCACCTAGCATTTTGTAATGTCATAATTATTAACATAGCCCAACAAAATTGTTGTACTCATATTTCTCAATATTTTATTTGTGAAAATAGAATACAAATATATCTCCAATTATTCAAATAATTTCTTTTAAATTTAAACTTTCAAATATTCTATTTTATTCCAATTTTCAAATAATATATGATACATAAAAAAATAACAGAAACAGTTGAAATAAATTATTATAATAAAGTAGAAGTAGAATGTTTAGAAGTCTTTAAACGCAAAAATAAAATAAATATAAAAACTAAGAGAGCAAAATAAAATTAAAACATTTTTAGTACATGTGGGGAGAAAACTTATGACCTCTTGATCGAAGAAGATAATTACTGAACCAGTTGAGTAATGTTCAAATTGGGAAATAAAATTGGACCTACAAATTATTACATTATAATTTTTTTAAAAAGTTGTGTTAGATAATAATGAATAATATTTTTTTTTTTTGAAATTTCTTAGGAGTCAATTTAGGCAGAAAAAAAAAAGACTTTGGACTGTGTAGAGAGGACAGAGAGAAATGGGAGGCATAAATTGCCTAAATAATGCCCGTCTACATAACTCCAAAACCCTTATTTATTTATTTTGGATAAAATTTGAAAATTATTAAATCCATTTTTTAAAAAATAATTATTATTTAAAACAAGAAATAATATATTTTTGTATCACCGCAAAAATATTCATTTGCTCTATATAGTACAGGTAGATTTGATCCGACGGCTCCAATTGTGCCACGTAGTGTCCCTCCGTGAAATCGCCGCCGCTCATGGCTTTATTTATTGGCTCTCTCTTTTTCTACCTTTCCCTTAGAAAAGTCTTCGCACAAATTAAATCTCAACTAATCATCCCGTGATGGCTTTTAATTTCACCCACTATTTTACTCAGATTTGTGGGTATGTATAGCAAATCTCTAATTCAACACAATATCAAAATTGTTAAATTTATAGAAATTTTATAAAAGAATTTAGAATATGGAACATTATTACATTGGGTATTAATGGGCGTTTTGGATCAGATCTACGTGAAATATAGAAAATAAAATAAAAGATTTCTAGACATAATTATTGGAATATTTTTGGGTCTTTTTGTAATGTTAATAATTGTTGCTGTTTCTTTTGCAACAAGAAAAAGAGAGGAAAATAGGGATGGGGACGGGGAAATTTAAGGGAAAAAAAAAAGATATTTAGAAAAGAAATGATTGGAAAATTTAATATAATAAATTGAGCTAGTTGCTGGCGACTGGCTCCTGCTGTGGCCGACTAGGCAACTTAATGGGGGAGAAGAGGGATTATAATTAAAATTATAATGATTATAAGTAAAGTTAAATTAGCTAAAGAAATGAAAAATGTTTGGTTTAATTTTCTTTTTTAATTAAAAAATTAAGAACGCCAGCTTGCAGAAATTAAAAGAGAATCTGATGAATTAATCAAATGGGAAACTACTTGGAATTGGTCCCGGTGATCTCACTATAAATATATTCTATTTTCATGCAATTCAAACACAATCAGTAAAGAAACCAAAGGGGTTTCTCTCTCTTCCATCTCTCTTTCTCTCTCATCTTCACTTTCCCGAGAAAATCTCAGAGAAATTCTGGGAAAATTGGCCTGAGAGAGAGGTGAGTTTCTTCCGGCCACCCATGAAGACCCACCGTGGCGGCGGCCCCTCTTGGGGTCGTCTTTGGCCGCAATTTGCTATGGCATTGGCCGTAGTTCTTCTTTCCGGCAATGTAGGATCTGTTGCCG